TGTATGTGTGTATTTTTAAATTTTGTTGCATTACTTCAAATCCAAATGTCTAGTGTAGCTACTTATTCAGACGTGCAGTTATGACTTCATTTTCAAATGATGATGATGCTACTGCTAATAATAAAAATATAAAAAAACTTGTTTCAAATCTATCTTCCAAATGTGGTAAAACAGTCAGCCTTCCATTCACTTTTTTCCACAAATGTATAATTCCTTGAAATAATGATCTGCATCTTCTGTAATCCACGTAGTTTTGGAATTTTAAATCGTTAAACATGTGCCTGTAGTCAGAAAAACAATTTGAATTGGAAAATTTGCAATTGCTTAATTAAATGAATGGTGTTTTCATGAACTAATTAAAAAATTCCACAAAGTAAGAGGAATATGTTTAATGTGGAATAAAATTATATACACTAAAAATTACAATACCACTGCTAGAAAAAAACGTTATATCTGTAAAATTCTATCAAAAGTAGGCATTTATTATATAGGTTTTAAAATTAAACATAAGATTTTGAAGAAAAAAATCTCTGACGTTATCTGGGCTAAGAATTCTTCATAGAAAACTGAGTATATTACTGGAAAGACCACAGACTATAAATTAACTATAAGAGGTCTTAAATATATAATACGTATAATGTTTTATATCCCTGAATATATGGGAGACCAATAGAAAATCTCTTACCCATAGAAGACCTGCGGAAATTTTTTGAAAGTAGTTTTACATAGATAGGATAGGAGAAGACTCTATATCGACGCCTCCGAACCATAGTATGCTAAGTCGACTTAGCATGTTTTAAAGTTGTTTAAGTTTTTAGATACTACGGTCCTTAATTTAAATTCTCTGAAATTTTGGTAATCATCGGCCAATCCAAACCAAAGTTATGAGCAAAAATGTACGTAGCATGGCGCGTAAGATATAAGAAACATCCATAATTTGAGAGCTTCTACTGAAAAACTCACTTTTCAGACTTAGCATACTATTCTTCGGAGGTGTCGATATATTGAAGGCCCTTATGGTAGCTCTTCTGTTTATACAGAAAACCTATAGAAGCTTCTCATCCTTTAAAAAGAAAAAATAATAAAATTCTGCCAGCCCACAAGTTGTATACCCTCCACCGTGTGTTGGACATACCGCTTAGACTTTGAATTATAAACTGTCGAACATTTTTAAAGCATTCAAAGGCACCTCCTTATCTTTCTGCACAATATGCAGTTGTATACCATAGAAGAAAAATATTATAGTCTGTATGGAAAAAAAGTTCGTCACTACAAGAAAAATCTGCTCTGAAAAGGGATGTTCTGGTGTGATGCCAAATGTCCGAACCTTGACACGGTTGAATTCGAATTTGAAGATGCAATTTCGCAAAAATATTCGACATAAATGCAACATATCAAGTAAAGACATTTGTAAGCCACATTGCCCAATATGCCTTATGAGCCGCTTAAACAACGGCGAAACGTTTCGCATAATGGTGGGAATCTTGAGAGATTTCCCATGCCTCACTTTCCCACCCCTGCCGACCGAGGGGGCGACCTCCCCCTTCGTAGGGATTGCGTACTCACCATAATCCGTATTATGATGGCATATGAAAAGGGAAACCAGCTACAAAGATCCATTTCCAACTCGGTGGCTACGTCAACTTTCCGAATTATAGCTCGAAAAACCGAAGAGCTATTGTTGGCAAGCTTCCCCATCAAATGGGTGGAATGTTTGGTGAAGTGGGGTCATTAGACCTCTACAAATACAAGTTTTGAGATTCTAAAGAATTATTTTTTGGAACTACGTTAAAAATAAAGCCTACCCCAAAAGATCTGTGTCGATTCATGACCTCAAACATAGAATTTGTGAGACCATCGAGGACAAAGAGCGCCCACTTATGCGAAATTTCACGAACATGATATATAAAAATCCTCGTGTTGCCCATTTGTACCTTTTTTGAATAAAAATGCTGTAAAATTTTTAATAATGGAGATATTTGGATCAAATTTTGAGGAATCATTCTGGAGGTATATAATTTTTACAATTTTTTAATGTTATTACCTACGTAGATCAATAACGGTGGTACATTTGTACCCATCCAAAGATAGCTCTCTAACTCATTAAAAAATTGGACTATCGTGAGGTTTTTTGTTTTAAATTAGTCTATACGGATCTGATATAGATGTAGGAACTCAAAATTATATATACATTAAAATAATATATATTTAAATCCATGCTTAAATGATAATCTATCTAAAACAATCATAGTAAATTCGTTATAGCTTTCGAATGGGTTAAGCTTTTTTAGTTATTTTTTTTATTGGGATCTTATTTAGGTGTTCCTCAATCCCTCTGCAAATTTTTGTGGCCCTAGACAACATGGAACCATCAGGGTGGCTCGTGGAAATCAGAAACTACCTTGGTTTCCTTTGGTATACAGGGACTAAAACGTATACTTTTTTGGTTATTGACCGTAGGGTTGACGTCCCTTTCTCTATCCTATAAAATTAAAAATCCGATCATTTGCCTCAAAATTGGAATTTTCCCTTTGAATTCAAAAATAACTTCTCAATAACTTTTCTTTAAAATATTTAGTGAAAATTACAAAGATAAACTATTGATAATATAATCGACATGTGGCAGTGGGAGCGTTTCTCAACACTTTAATGTGCTTTTCTCAAAAAAAATCCGCGTAGATTTTCCCTATTTTTCAGCATAATTTGTGGTCGAAAATATATTTTTTTAGATCCGCTCGTTGCCAGCCAGTTTAAAAACGTATAAAATTTGAAATCGAGATTGGGGGTCCGCTTATGAGAATACCTTTTGGCATTGTATAAATAATCTATGGTCTTGTACGAGAAGTATTAGTTAGATATGATATCTTGATCTTGGAAAAAAATATCTTCTTTTTTATGAGAAGTCTGCTTGAACTTCTGATATCTTTGTTAAAACTTCTTGGTCTGCCTAAGGAAGACCTTCGAAAAACATTTCATAACTTCAGTCCTTTACAAATATGGTACTCTACAAACAGATGTCTAGGTATTCTTTAAAGGGACCTATTGGTCATCATTAGAGTTATTTTTATTCTATAATAAAAAACAGTTGTTCTTCCTCGAATATTTTGGACCTTCTTCGCTTGTTCTCCAATAATAAATCTTGATTATTTTCCTTAGGAACATACACAAAAGTTTTCCTCCAATTCCGATACATTTCAAATCCGTCATGTTTTTCTTCATTCACTACTGCTACAGACATTTTCCTAACTCTTAATATCTATCCACTCCATGGAAACCACAAACAAATAAGGCACATCGATTTGTAACTCACTAATGGCCATGAATATGTGAAGAGTCAGTAGCCATATTTGGAAATTTGCAAATTCATTTTGTCTACCAGCAAATGAATGAAGACTAACTTGGCCTAGTGGCAGAAATAAACCAAATACCAGCAGTGTGTAATAAGGCAAACTCTTATTATATTTGGTATTTGTTGTCGTTGGCAATTGTTTTGTACGAGTGGAGTAATGGCTATGCGGACCTCAAAGCCGGATTTAGTTTTTATTTCCACACAAGTCATTTGCAAAAAAACAGCAAAATGTAAAGATTTGTATTATCCATAAGAGAAGAGGAGTTTTCAATGTATCAATGCAACATGTTGTCGCATTCAAAATGATGCTTGGCAACATGTTGCAGAGTTAAGTTACAATTGTTGCATTATTTTTTATTTTTTGTTACAAAATCGAAATTTGTTTTACAATTCTTCCCACATTATTTTATGACATTCAATTTACAAATCAATGGTGACATTACAATACAAAAAATTGTATTTTGTATTTTTTCGATTTCTAGATTTTGATTAGATTTTTTTATTTGGTCCGCAAAACATGATAAAGATAATGTCATTCAATTAAAATAAATTGTTTTCATTTCAATTACATTTTTTGTTATTGTCTTCATCAGTTCGGCTTGGTTGGTCAATTGGGGAAAAAAATAAATAAAACTAATGAAGGCAATAAAAGTCAGTTGACCAATGCAAAAAAGCAGACACACACAAACAATCGCTATAGATTGTAATCGTCGGGGTCGAACCTGATTTGACCTATAGTAACACACCTGTATGACATTAAAATAGGCTTAGATTTACTAATCAGTTTTTTGGTTGAGGACTAAAAATTTAAATTTTAGGTTGGAAATCATTGTACAAAATCATTTGCAAAAATATATGGATAGCTTATACGAAAAATTAATAATTTTAAAACAGATCTGAAATAATTTTAAAATAGATTTGAAAGTTTAAGGCACTCCAACCTGGTTGAATCCATATTGTTCCGCCCATTTCTAATAATTTTATGTGTAATCTGTAAAAAAAAACTTAATTGCACACTGTATACCTGAGCTGCTACAGTAAGTAGAGCGTTTTCAAATCCAATAATCACAAAAGGTGACCAATATTTAAATATGATACAAAATAAAATCAATTTTGTGTCCGTATTCACATGAAAAGCCTAAACATACTTTAGGAGTGGATTTTGGTCTCTCCCCTGACCAAATCATGGGTTATTCTTCCACCATAAAAATGTGTTTACAAAATGTTACAATTTTTTTTTTTTGTTTTCAAATCCATTCTTTGTATGTTTATTTTACAAATATGAGGCTGGAATTAAAATTTGCTCTCATTTTTCCGTTCGCAACCAATGAAGTGTAACTAAAGGTGCGTCGATGCTTTTGTCTTCAATTTCGTTCGACATAAAACCTATATTATCAACAAATGTTATCCAATAGACCAATGACCCAAAACACCCCATCCCCCAAACTCCACCTTTTATACAATTTATATACCATATTGAAATCAGTTACTCTGCTAACTTCACCTGTCTGCCTGAGTTTCAGTTTCATAGTTGTAATCTAATCATTTTGTTGGCGAACTTCATTCTAGACACAACTTTATTTTAAAACTTTATTTCAATTTCCAATTTATTCTTCTTCTATTCTAGTTGATCACTGCTCTCGCTTCCAACTGTTTGTGTCACAAAAATAGAACCAAAAATGTCGGTGCTACGTACTATGCTGTTGTTGGCGTTGGGCGCCACCATGACTTTGGCTCAAAGACGTCTTGCCTTGCCGGATCCCAGGAGTTGTTCGAATCGTAAGTATTGCACAAAAAAACATACAAAGGATTATAAGGACTGAAGGACTCTGTTTACAACAGAGTGAAATAATAATCAATGGAGTTCTTAAAAGTAAATAATGTTTAAGTTCTGCCGATATTGTAATATATTCTATCAAAGTATAAAAAAATTAAAATGCGATTGGTATGAAATTGTAGTTATGTTGAAACCCATAGAGACCTACAGACCTATAATGAGAATGTCCTGTCAAGTGGTATTTTATCTACTGAGAACGAAAAATGACAGTCACATTAAAAATGCGATCACGACCATAAAATAAAGTGTAAAAAGTGTGACCTAACCTGACCTAACTTGAAAAGGGAAATTTACCAATTACAAATTAAAAACTGTTCGTTAAAAAAATACGTTTATAACTTTCAAAATGTTCAGAATGTAACTTAGGACATACTATATCAAAGAAAAAAATGATATCTCTAGATTTGAGCAATCTAGTTCACGGAGTGTATCGATCATTGTCGTTCCTCTTTTTAGAAAGGCACTAGTTCCTTTGCTCCATATAGTTCCGATTCCTAGATAGTTCCTTTGATTTTCCCTCTAATTATCGTTTTTTTCGCATTGTTCCGTGTTGATGGTTAATATCTATTCTGTAGAATATTCAAAAGGAGAATTTAGCTGTCAGATTATATGCTCAAAATAGTTTATTAAATATTTATATACTTTATTTAAAAATAAAACAATAAGTTTACATATTTTAAACAATGTGGCAGTATCTGAAATAATGAACGAGAACGAATGAAGAATATGGGAATTTAGAAACGAAATCAGTAAAAGGAACGTGACCACAAAAAGGAATGCGATCAAATAAATGAACGAGATCAGAAAAATTAACTAAAGAAATTTACCTAGTTCCTTTATCGGAATAGTTGCAAAGAGCTAGTTCGTTTCGGAACGATTCAACTCTAGATTAGCCTACGGTGAACAAAACTGAATACTACGGAACGCATCAAAAGGTTGCAAATAGTGGAAAACCCATTCGTTATTCAGGGCTTAAATATATATCAAATGAGCTGGCCGCGGATCTGGGATAAGGATTTCTGAGTACAAGAGTGGCTATGTTGATCAATTCTATATCAACCATGGTGAAATTGGATCACCTTAATTAAATTATTACATAGGTCGTTGGTCATCATTTAAAAAAAGACCTCGGTATCCCGCAGTTTTCTTACGATTTGCCGTCAGAATCCTCTGTATTTGAATAGAACCTTGTTTAAACCTACTGAGCGCCTTGTCGATTTTTCAATCCTAGTTGCGCTGTCGCATTGACAGGACAAATTAGAATTCCTTCCAAAAAGTATAAAATTCTTATTGGACTAGCGCAGAATTTTAATCACCCGCCACCCTGTGCTATCTAAACTACCATATCATATTGACTATCTAATTTTAGTCCTAATCAAAATACTTGTTGGCTACAAGATGGCTGACTTATCGTGCGGGACTTCTCCGGCCACCCCACCCTCTACTCAAAGAAATATAAGAGAAGCCTGCTGCCGTGATATGGTTTAGGTGTCTTAAATCAAAGTATCAATGAAGTAGAGCAAATGAATAGAAATGAATCAGCATACCGAATGACAGACTAAGTATCAAATATATGCTTCGATAAATATTAAACTCACCTAATATAAATTGTATTTCCCAGAATTTGGCGTCTTCCGTCAAAACCATTACCAAAGCTACAACAAAGAAAACTGCAAAGAAGTCGAGTTCAATGACATCAACTTCATGGGACAGTGAAACAATTAAAAAAAAAAACAGGTCATTCTAGGAACAATGAGCAGCTGCAAAATAGCTGACTATCGCAGAGATTACTTACTTACTTACGTAGATAGGTTATGATAGAACGGTTGTTCCATAAGCCGAGCCTAAAAAAAGATTTCTAAGCGCGTCGGTTTTGTGCGCATCTCATCCAATTTGAAAGATCTTGGTTCGCTTTTATATGCCTTTTGAGCTGGGGCATCTTCATCCATTCTCACAACATTGCCAAGCCAACGTAGTTGCTGCAGCTCGATACGTCTGACTATGTCGGTGTCCGAGAATACATGGTACAACTCATGGTTCATTCGACGACGATATTCACCGTCTCTCAAACATTCCAAGAGCTGCCTCATATGTTTGCGCAAGTAACCATGCTTCAGATCCATACAACAGCAGGGATAATATCAGCGTCTTGTAGAGTGCGAATATGATTCTGCGAGAGGTATCCTTGCTTTTGAGTTGCTTACTCAGGCTCCGGATTTCAAAGTTAGTTTATGGCGGTACAGAGGTATAAACACTGGATGAATTCCTTACGTCTATCACAACATGATCGATTTGATTTCACGTTGCTTGATCAGGAGAAATCCAGGTGGCTTTATGTACATTGAGATGCTTGAATTACCAAAAATAAAAGAAATACCAACAGGGTTCTCAGGGAATATAATTAGTTGTTCTCCCTTCATAAAAAGAGGCCTTATGGCCCTGTACCGTCAGGTTTGATAATTCAGGATTGCATATTAAGACGTATACCAAATATTAATACCATTTGAATATTGCAACCTTCACTCACACAAGACTACACAGAGAAAAATAATCCTAATGAATATTTTTATAATTTCATTCCCAGTTAAATTTTTCAAAACGAAATAAAAATTAAAACAAAAAATTTTATATTTATGAGAAAGTCACTTTTTTCCAAGAAAATGTAAACATTTCATTAATATCACATCTATTTTCCTACTTCGCTTTACTGTACCACTATTTGTGCTCATGTTTCTTCTCTCTCTTTACAAAATCAAATGTATTCCTCCCAATATCGTTCTCCCCCTCACTTCTTACTTGGTGGTTGTTGTTTTTGCAACCGTTTATTTGATAAATGTTTCTCTTGCTAACAATCGTCGACATTCCACGCACTCGTCTGTGACTAGTTTTGCATTCCATTGTTTCCTTATTTTAGACATTCCTACCGACCTCTGTATTGGTGTTACAAAATTCGCATGTGTATTTTCCAAATTATTTCGATATAAATGCTAAATACAATATATACAGAACAACAAGCCCAACCTAATATTTAGCATTGCATACGGTTGTTCTAATGACGCAGAACATTAACATGTGAATTAATTAAGAAGAAACGAGAAAAGACATAACGAAGAAGAAAGCATAAAATCAAAATAGAAAAAAATTAAACGACTAGAATTTCTGTGACACAGAAACCCTTTTTTTCCACTCTCTCTGACAAAAAAAACAGTATTTCATAAAACATGAACTGAATTCATAAAATGCAGAAATCCCGACATTGGCAACACTTTACGAACACTATTTATATAATATACCAATTATTTTTTCTCTGAGTACTTTGGTCCTTTTACAATGAATTCTTATTAATTTTGTGATTTTTGTTCTCATTTATGCTATTTATTAAATTTTGTCATGCTATATTTTGAATTTGGTCCTTTATTGAAATTACAATTTCAACTTGATTCTCTTTTCCATCCCCTCACAGGTGTCCGCCATGCCTCGTATCGTGATGCCCGCGGTGTCAGTCACTCGTACTTCTTCAGTTGGGAACATGCACCGACCCGTAGCCTTGAAGTCGATTGGTTGGATGCCCGTAACATTTGCCGTCGTCACTGCATGGATGCCGTTTCGTTGGAAACCCCGCAAGAGAATGAATTCATTAAACAGCGCATAGCACGCGGTAATGTTCGTTACATCTGGACATCGGGTCGTAAATGTAACTTTGCTGGCTGTGATCGTCCCGATTTACAACCACCAAATGAAAATGGTTGGTTCTGGTCTGGATCGGGTGCTAAAATCGGACCTACCTCACAGCGCAACACTGGCGATTGGTCGTCCACTGGTGGTTACAATCAACCTCAGCCTGATAATCGTGAAGCTGCCCAGGGTAATGATGAATCTTGCCTTTCGATTTTGAATAATTTCTATAATGATGGTATCAAATGGCATGATGTTGCCTGCCATCATTTGAAACCATTTGTTTGTGAAGATTCCGATGAGTTGTTGAATTTCGTGCGCTCACGTAATCCTGGATTGCGTCTTTAAATAAATTACAATTCAAAAAAAAATTTGGGTGTTTTCCCCGAAATGCAATCAAGCCCAGTGTTTTTTAAAAAATTGGAACTGCCTTTCAAAATTTTAATCATACGGAATCATTTGAAATTGTGTGCTCTTCAATCTTAAACATGAAAGAAGATCCCATTTTAAAGAAATTGGTAGTTTTAAGTTTATTTCTAAAAAAATAATTTATATTTTACTCTCTAAAAAAAAGAAAAACAAAAACAACAAATGAAAATCTGTTATTGTTTTGTTTCATAATTTGTTATATACAAAATTTTGAAATTTATAATTTTGTGTTTATTTTTTAAAATGTTATATAGTTATAAAAAATCGTTATTTTTTAAAAAATCTAAATACAAGAAATCATCACATTTTATTTTTCCCCCTCTTACATACTTACTATTATTATAATTATTCTTCTTTATTCGGTGTGAACCAAGTATTGTTTCTATCAAAAACAAAAATTCCATTCAAATTGCATTTATTTAATAAAGACAAAGATACAACAACAAAATTGAACTAAACAAATTGAGAATTTTATTTGATTTAGAATTGTAAAGGGGTATTTACAGTACCCTTACAATAGGTCTTGGGTGAGTCAATTTTCTCTTAAAGGGAAATAATTTCCAGCGCCTAAAAATATGCTTCAAATGTAAACTTTTTTAATTTTTTCCTTTATTTTAATGTACGAGGGCAACCCTGGCATAAGCCTTTGTTTTTTGGAATTTTGAAACATTTTTATTTTTAATTTAACAAAACATAGGTGTTTATTTTAGCTTTAATGAAAATCGGGTTAAACATATATTTATAAGCTGTATGTATGCCTAACAGGGTTTGAATTAAATTTAGCAGGATGTACAGGGTGAGATAAAAAAAACTGCAACGCCATAATTTTTACATCTTTTTTTTTTAAATTTTGTTGAATGAAAGCAAAAAAATGTAGGAAATAGGATGAAATTTTAGAATTAGTTTAGATTTGTTCGAATTGGTCACCTTTGGCACGATTTATGGCCTTCGAACGGCCAATGAAACCGTCACACGCTGCCCGAATGTTACTCTGTGTTATTTTGGCCCATTCCCGGTGAAGCGCTTCGTTGAGGTGAGGTGGCTTTGGTATTTTTTAGTGCCAACCTTGCTTTCCAAAATACTCCAGACACAATAGTCCAACGGATTGGTATCCGGAGATTTTGGTGGTCATTGTGCGCTGGAAATGAAGCGAGGAACTTCATTTTGTAACCATTTTGGGTAGCTCGTGCTGAGTGCGATGGTGCTGAGTCCTGTTGGAATGTCCAGATATGCGGCCAAAATGTTTGCGTGCCCACGGCTTTAATACACCTCCAGAATATTTTCGCGATAATATTCGGAATTTATTCTGATGCAACGGTCGAGTAATACGAGCGGAAAGCGACCATCGGCTGTTATGTCGGCCCACACCGTCCGGCGTTTGAGTTCTGGTGGCCAACGAAAGGTGCATTTTTTAAGCTGACCTCTCTGGCAAGTAAACTCGATCATTTTGTTTGTTTACAAACTGCTGGACAACGAAATTGAAATCGGTATATATCTATATGAAATAGAGTAAAAATAGCTATAGAGCCATAATATTGAAGAAACGCACAATGAACTTTCTTAACGACGAAGCACGCATTTTAATTGTGAAATTCAATGATTTGATCGCGTTGATCGTTTGTATGGCGATTCATCGTTAAATTATGGACCAAACTGAAGATGTATAACAGAAAAACAAAACACTATATGTGTGCAAACTGTTAAAAACAGTGTTGCCAAAGTGATAACAGCTAAAAAATCACCTTTATAGGTGTAATAAATTAATAATGTCATTGTGTAATAAAACTTCAGAATTCCCTCTAACCATTGCTGCTAAATTCATAAAAATCGGTTAAGTATTTCCGGAGTTATTCGAATTTCAATTCTACCATGTTCCGAAACATACTTTCTATTCGATGCTGGGCGCCTATTACCAAAATATGAAAAACTCCACAAAAATCGATCTTGCAAAAATGGAAATTTTTTCTTCATACAGCTACAGTGTGTATTTGTAGGTGAATATATTTTACATGGCATATGTGCATAAATCAAATGCAATCACACCTACATATCAATCGAGTAACAAGAAATTGCATGCACCTCGAACTGCCCTTTGCTCCTACAAGTATGCTATAATTTTCTTATAACAGCAGACGACATTATGAAAACGATTTTTGCCTTTTTTAAAAGACCGATTTTTGTGTGGTTTTTCATTTTCAGGTAATAGGCGACCAGAATCGAGCAGGAGGTGTATTTCGGACCATCGTTGAATTGAAATACAAATATCTCGGCAACTACTAAACCGATTTTTAAAAAGTTTCCAGATATGGTTAGAGGAAATTCTGAAGTTTTATTACACACTGTCATTCCATGTTTTTACAATTATAAAGGGTGATCTTTTAGCTATTATGTTTTTGGAAACACTATTTTTAACAGTTTACATATATTTCGTGTATTGTTTCACTGCCAAACATCTTCAGTTCGGGCTATAATTTAACGATGAATAGTCATACAAACCCTTTCAAACTATTGATTTTTTACTAAAAGTACTAAATGTGATACCATTTGTGTTTGGCGAACCGGTAGAGCTAGAACTCTTAAATTTTAAATGAGGGTCCCTGATGGAGTGTAGAATAGATATAGCAAAGGTTTTTTTGACATTCGAACTATAAGTATGCGAAAAGTACTAAAATTTTGTACAATTTCGTAGCATGTGACTGGATAGAGCCAAAAACTTGAAATTTGAACGGAAAATTAAGGTTAAGAAGCAGGGTCGATATAAGGAGCGGGTTTTGGAAGTGTGTACTTATGTATACGAAAAGTACTATAGGGTACTATATTTGGTACAAATTTAATTTGGAGGTACAAATCGAGTTGGAATCCTGAAAATTTAAATTAACATTACCGCCGATGTGTAGAATTGGGATATATACGTAGTTTTGGAATTTTTATACTTATGTGTACGAAAAGTACTAAATTGTACTATAATTGGTACCAAATTTGGATGTGGGTGAACCGATAGAGCTGGAAGCTTTACATTTTGAGTTAGGATCATTCTTGGGATAGAATTGAGCAGTTTAAGAAATTTTGGAATTTCCTACTAATGTGAACTAAATTTTGTAATTTAAATTTTGAGTGAACCGATGCGATGAAGTTTTGGAAATTTGTACTAAATGGTACCAAATGCGCGTTTTTGAGTGAACAGATTGAGCTGGAATTTTGTTATATGACCTTCGGATCACTTTTGGGGTTTAGGATTGGGTTTTGTGGAAAGTTCTGGAAATTCGTACTAATGTGTACTAAATTTGGTACAATTTAACTTTTAAGTGAACCAATTGAGCTGGAAACCTTGAAATTTGGAAATAAGGTTATTGTTAGAGTGTGGGATTGGGGTATGGATGTAGTTTTGGAAATTCACACTTATGGGTACTAAATTGTACTAAATTTGGTACAATTTGAATTTTGTGTGAACTGATAGAGCTGGAATCCTGCAATTTGGGGTTACGATCTTAGTTGGTATGTAGTATGGAGCTATGTAGAAAGTTTTGGAAATACGTACTAATGTGTACTAAATGGTACCAAATTTGTATTTGGGTGAACTGATAGAGCTGTAGGCTTATTCTGTAACTTTTAGAAACATTCGATATTGTTTAAATTTCATTAGTTATTGTAAAAACGACAAAACAAACAAATGAAATTGTTGTAAAATAAACAATGTCGAATGTTGTTAAAAAGTTACAGAACAGGCCTAATGGAATCTTAAAATTTGATGTTAGAATCACTGCTGAGGTGTAGGGTTTGGCTTTGTAGAAGTTTTGGAAGTTCGTACCAATGTGTACTAGATTTTGTACAATTTAAATTTTGGGTGAACCAATACAGCTAGAATCATGAAATTTGGAGTTAGGATCACTGTTGGGATTTAGGATTCAGGTATGTATAAAGTTTTGGATATTTGTACTAATGTGTACAAAATAGAACCAAATGTGGATTTGAGTGAACCGATAGAGCTAGAATCTTGAAATTTGAAGTTAGGATTACTGTTGGGGTGTAGGATTGGGCTATGTTGGAAGTTTTGGAAATGTCTACTAATGTGTACTAAATGGCACTAAATTTGGTACAGTTTGGATTAAAAGCTAACCGATAGAGCTGGAATCTCCATTGGAAGTTATGGCAATTTATATTCAGGTTTACTAACTGGTATTTAATTTGGATTTGGGTAAAGTTATATTTGAAATTTGGAAATTTTACACGAGTACAAAGGGTAAAAAATGACAACAAATTTTGTATAGAGCTAAATTTCTTTTGCGGTCAGAATTGGTGTGTAGGGTTGAGATATGGAGGTAGTTTTGGAAAAAAAACGTGCTATAAGAGAACATAGATACTAAATGGTTCCAAAAGTGTTGGTAATGTTTGGTATTGGGTTTTAAATAATTCCCACATTCGCTAACGAAGTAGCGTTTATATGCTAGTGGGGATATATATACGGATTTTCAGAACTCCTAAAAAATCTGTCAAGTCACAAAATTCGACAAAATTATATTAATCAGAAGGTTTATAAAAAATGTGTTTAATTAAGGCTTGCGATAAATAACCATTTTTTGCTAAATTAAGAATAAAAATATTTTAAAATTTGTCAAATATAAAGGCTTCAGAAGTTCTTTACACGATGCCATTCAAATTGGAAATACATCGGCCTTAAATTGTATGAAAATTACGATTTTTATATTTTTAAGACATGACGATTTCGGGACTTTTCAGAATTTGTCTTGCTTAGTACCGTCATACGTATCAATAGATGGCGCTATTTGCGTGCTATTGCCAGAGTTGCCCTGTACACTTTAAATTATGTTCACATTAGAAAATAATGGAAATTTAAAGAATACTCTTAGGCGCAAGTATGTCGTTAACTTCAGTTGCTACGAAGACAAAATTCGACAAAATTTAATTCATAAGGCTTATAAAATATGTTCCATTAAGGCTTGCGATAAAAACCATTTTTTGCTAAATTAAGAATAAAAATATTTAAAAAATTGTCAAATATAATTTAAATAACAAGAAACATTTCATTATTTTTTTTTCAATAACATTTATTAACGTATTACATATACATACATAGATTTATTAAGTTATATAACTAATATTTCGAATTTATATGTTTAATTAAAACACAATGAAAAAAATTCTTTCATTTAATAAATTTTATAAATATATTTTTGTTTGTGTGTGTGTTTTTAATAGTTTGGGAAGTGTATAATTGCTAATCATACAATTAATAATAATAATTTTAATTATTATATTAATAAAAATACTTAGCTTTGGTAATTTGCTTTAATTGCTATAGAAAAGGAAAACACAAAAAAGTACAATATTAATTAAAAAATAAAAATAAACATAAAGAAATATACAAATTATATATTTTTGTAATATATATAAAATATAATCATCTTAGGCAATAGAATTTGAACTCTTCTTTTTTTAATTATATATATTGTTAATTATATATGTATAGACAGAAAAGAAAAAAAAATAATAGCTATGCATATATGTATTCTAGGAGCAATAGACTTAGTTATTTTGGACAATTGTGCTTTGTTTTAAATTATCTAGGCTATAATGATTATATTTTTATTTTTTTTTTTTGTTAATATACTTAAAAGCTAATAATTGTATGTTTAAAAAATTTTGATTTAATTGTTGAGGGTTATAATCATCTCAATTCCCAAAAAGAAAATACGGGAGATGTTGGGAGAATAATTAGAGATTTAGACACAAATGTATATTTGTATGTAAAGTTATTTAAGGGCAAAAGAGGTTGCGTTTTAAAGCTTAAAATAAATGCACAATTATTTCAGCAAACAAATGTAAATAAATTAAAAACTAAATTGTTACAGTTAAACTGTGCCAAAAAAATATATATAGAGTTAATAATTAAAACTTAAAATTAAAACAATTCATATTATTATTAATTTGTTTTAGAATTTTGAAATGTTGTTGTTGCATAAAGTTAGCTGATGAAAGCATTTTTTGGAATAAGGTTGGGGGCTTATTTGGAGGAGGAGGAATTTAATCTTCCCATTCTGTATTTGTAATTTTTGGCGGATGGGGTAGGGCTTGTGGAGAAGGAATTTATTTTTCCTGTTTTTTAATTTCTAATTCTTTGTTGGTTTGGTTAACATTTTGCGGGTGAATTTCATGTTGCTGATTTAATAATTAATTTTCACTTGTGTTTAATTTTAGCTAATATTTATGTTGCATTTTTGTGTGTGTATGTATTGTTAATCATTTAATTGTTTGTATTTATTTTATAGTTTTGCGTTAACATTTCAATAAACTGCAAAACCAAAACCTAAAATTAAAAATAAAAAAAAAAACAATTTATTAATTATTTAAACAAAAAAAACAACAAACACATTTCTAGGCAAATAATTTCACCACTTTGGTTCCAGTTTTTGTTTTTCACAAAAAATAATTACACACCATCACATTTTTTTTACTTTTACTATATAATCTATTAATATCATCCAAAACACCATCACCAGATTAGAAAACATTTTTTTGTATTTTTGTTTAGAACATACAAGACTACATTCGGCGGTACCGATCATTTGATATTTTCTACACCATCACAACTTTGCTGATTAAAATCGGATTAAAGAAAATATTTTTGGTTAGTGGAATTCGGTATTAAAATGCGGCTACAACCAAAAATGGAGCGGGATATATCCAAGTATAAGCTTTTCTAGAAATTTGTTGAGGAGGTAGCCTTTTCATTCGGTGAACCCGAAAGGACAAATTACAGCTTATTAAGTAGGAATATGCGGATAGGACCTTTCAAACACCTAAAGTGGGTCGGACTTTTAAAAATATGAATTTTCCGGCAGGATGTATTTTATTCTCTGGAAACTCTAAATAATAACAATTGAAGTGAAAAACAAGGCCAGGACCATTAAAATACCTGTAATGAATGGAATGACTAAACATATTAACATTGTTCTACCTGGATTTGTATTTACTCTCTGAGAACCCTAAATGATAAATTTCAACCACTGTAGATGGAAGATTCGGCTATGATCTTAAAAATGTTTAAAAGTGTCCAGGACTTGTATATGTGCCCTGTATGAAAACATGGACTTACACTGAATATCTTCTGTTGATGGAAGCTTCAAAAATCGTAAATTTTGTGGTACTTTTATATGGGCTTCATTGTTTTCTGCTAGGAGCTTCAAAGAATCTTAAATGATGCGGTACTTTCATATGGATCTTCAATAGGCCTATAAAAGACAGAAGATCTTCCACAGCTATTGTAGAGGCAGAAGATATTCCACAGACTTTCAATGTACAGAATACTTTCTACAGACACAGAAGACATTTCAACCAATTTCTTTAGATATAAAACCCTTCTACAGATAGTGGATCCTTTACCGGTCTTCTTTAGACCGAATACCTTCTATATGTCGACCATATGCAAAACGGCCTTTAACAGATACAAAAAAGACAGAATACCCATAACAGGTCTTTAGTAAATAGAAAACTCTATATAGTTGGATGTACACCGAACATTTTTCATCAGGTTTTCTATAGATACAAGACCCTACAATAGGCATTCTTTTGTCAGAAGACATTTTATAGGCCTTCTTTAGATAGAATGCCATTCAAAATGTCTACTATGGGTGAATGTACCTTCAATGGGGCTACAGAAGACACTTTGCAGGTCTCCAATAGGCATAAAATGTTCTGCAGGCCTGTAGATTGAATATAAACAGAAGAAAGGGTTTCCAGTAGATACGAAAACGGCCTTTAACAGGTCCACAAAAGACAGAATACCCATCAGAGGTCTTTAGTAAATAGAAGACTCTGTACAGTCTCTTGGATTGGATGTACACCGAATACATTTCATCAGGTTTTCTATAGATATAAGACCTTTCAATAGGTATTCATTTGCCAGAAGACACTTTATATAGAATATCATCCAAGATGTCTACTAAGGGCCAATTGACCTTCAACGGGCCTATAAAATTCCCTTTACAGTCTCCTTTATGCCTATTGGAGACCTGTAAAGGCCTGTAGATTGAATTGACACAGAAAAAATGGTTTACAGTAGATACGAAAACGGCCTTTAACAGGTCCACAAAAGGCAGAAGACCCATCACAGGTCTTTAATTAATAGAAGACTCTGCACAGTCCCGTAGATTGGATGTACACCAAACATCATTCATCTTGTTTTCTATAGATATAAGATCCTTCAATAGGTATAATTTGGTCAGAAGACACCTTACAGACCTTCTTTGTATAGAATATCTTTCAAGATGTATACTATGGGTGAAAGAACCTTCAACGGGGCTACAGAAGACCCTTTACAGGTCGAAAATAGGCATAAAGTGTTCTGCAGGTTTTCAGAGGATACGAAAAAGGCCTTAAACAGGTCCAAAGAAGACAGAAGACCTATCACAGGTTTTCTATAGATATAAGACCCTTCAACATGTATTCTCTTGTCAGAAGACACTTTAGAGACCTTCATTAGATACAATACTTTTCAAGATGTCTAATATGGGCGAAGTGGCCTTCAACGGGCCTACAGAAGACTCTTTACAAGTCTCCAATAGGAATAAAATTTTCAGCAGGCCTGTAGATTCAATATATAGAGAAGAACACTTTTTCAGTAGATATATGACGCTTCAACAGATATTCTACATACTGAAGACCCTATACAGGACTTCTCTGGACAGAGCACCTATCAAGAACCCCAGAGAAAAGACTATTTTACTTCACCCCTAAAAATATATATTATGACAATTTAAAGTCGTCGGGATTTTAACCCTTTAATGTAACCCGAGTTTTACCTTATATACGTCGATCATGTTGAAATATGCTTCCACTTTCCCGCATTCTATTTTCATGCAAAATTACGAGCATATTTTTTATGTTTGGGAGGTCAAATGATTTAAATGTTTGTATTGAATTGCCGACAACTTGAGGTCATACAAAATTTTCGTAATAAAATACGACTTCCTGCAAATCCATTTTGCTATTACTTCCCTATCCAATAGTGTAGTTTAATTGGCATTAGTTTTTGATTAGTTCCGATTAGTATTATTAAATTAATATTTTGATATAATTTGTTTATAGTTATTGATAAAAAAAATTCAACAGGAATAGTAGGAGGAGTAGTACAAAAATCTGGGGTTAATTATGAAAACATTGTATGAAAAATATATATGTATATATATAGGTTTTTTATATATATCTAAGAAGAGAATACACATCTATGGAGAGTATTGTGTTTAGTATAATATTTGAGTTGGCTTGTTTTTGTTTCTTTTACTGATTTAAGTTAGTAACACATATTTTGATATCGAGACACAGACAGTCAGTCATTCATACATTCACTCGCGCACTTCCACCTTTCAGCATTCACACTCCACATTCAAATACATTGACATAGACTAATTAATATAATAAACTAGGCTACATTTTGAAAAAAAGGAAATTCTTTAGTTTGTTTCCTTGGAGTATTTTGTTGTCGTTTCTCTAGCTTATGAATAGATTCTACATAAAATAAATAAAAATGGGAAAACAAGAAACAAACATATACGATTTAGGCAGTACTTGAATTATTCGAAGTTCCGCTAATGGCATTAAACAATGCCATGCTATTGCGTTGTGTATTATTTGTGCTATCCTCAAGAGGTTGAAATGATTCATCCAATAGTTCACCCAATTCTTGACACATTTTCTGATAATTCTCTTTCAAGGCGTTGTGATATTCCTTTTGATCGCTGCATATCATGCGGGCATTCAATTGCAGAGCTGTATGGCAGACACCAATGAAATCTCTGTAAAAAAAAACATTTTTGATTTAATTTGAAATTGTTTGATATTAAAAAAAGTAATGTGTTACCTGAAAACATCTTTAAGATCTTCGACCCGATCTACTGAGAAATTATTAATAACTTTGGGATCCAAAAATGCCTGGGCATATGCCAAGGGACCGGCATTAACTTGCACTGCCACACTTCCTTGCAGCCGCAATTGCAATTTCTTAACATCAGCCGGTGGCAAAATGGTCTCTCCCAATTCTGAAACCTTCGTTTGCATTTCATCAATCGCCACCTCAATGGGACTTAATTCAATAATTTCTCTGGATTTGACCGGTATACGTTTCAAAACGTATGGGAACGAATAGGTAGCTGGAAAATGGAAATGAAATGTATTAACAACCTACAGAAGCATTCAAAAACAGCAGCTAAATTCTTTATCCGAGGCATACTGTGAAGATATTAAACGGGTTTCTATGTGTGAAAAATATTTTGTATAGATAATCTTCTATCTACAGAATACCCTTTATTAAGATCCTATATATAGGCAGAAATAAATTGTAGTTACTTCAAGTGTAAAACTAACCCAGAGTCATTAAAATACCTGAAATTGGGTCGGGCCTTTATATTGTGGGAATAACTAAACATATTAATATTATTAATGATCTAACAGAATTTGTATTCATTCTCTGAACAAAACTAAATGAAAAATTCCAACCACTGCAGCTGGAAAATGCTGCTAAGATCATCAAAAGATTTAAAAGTGTCCAGGACGCCAAATCCTGGAAAAAACATATCGACACATTCCACATATTCGCATTCGACAGTCCTATCCGTTCAGAGGTGTATAAAGCAATGTCTGCGTTTGCCTTCCTGCAAAATTAATCCGGCTATGTAGGATAACTTTAACTGACACACGATCAGTAGTTAAAGCCGGAAAGGACCTCACGCAGCTCTTGAATATCGAACGAGAATTCAGACAAGGTAACAGTTTGTCGTTTGACCTTTTTAACATCCTGCTGGGAAAAGGACATTCGAGAGGTAAAGGTGAACAGAAATGGCACGCTGTACACCAAACAACACATGTTACTCGCCTACGCCGATGACATCGACATAATGGGTCGAACATTGAGAGCGGTAACAGCCACCTTTGAACAAATTGAGAAGGAGTCTGCCAAAGTGGGTCTGGGTCGATCTGCGTTCACGCAGAAGAGGAGGCCACGAATAAGATCAAGTTGAAGACAACATTGCCGAATATGGTCTTTCAAATTGGAAAAACTGCGCAAAAGACCGACGCGCCTGGAAATCTTTTTTAAGCTCAACTTATGGAAAGAAAGTTCTGTCACAAGCCAGCTAAGTAAGTAAGAATCTGCTGGGAGCTTTTCTGTATATAGATGCCATATTGCATTGTTTGTATATAGAAGATCTGTTAACAGGCACTTTGGATAAGAAAATCTGTAAAATTTAAAACCCTCTACGGGGTGTCTAAAGACATAAGATCATAAGTTTCTATAGAGAAGATTCCAAAACTATTCTATACTCAGAAGAAGACAGGAGATTTTTTTTATAAAAATACACACAGGGACTCCTTTTTATGCAAACACTAAATGAACGTGGTTTGAAGATGATTTCGTTTATATAATTGAAAAAAAAGTTCCTTTAAACGTCTTCTTTACAAAAAAAAAAAAACACTCAAAGTTTACGACGATCCTCTTGGAGGTTCCCATATAAAAAGTTTTTCTTTCTGCATGTATTTTACATGACGACCTAATAAAAAATCCTCAGTTTACAAGAAGTGATACCCATTACGATATCTATAAAGACTATAAAAGAATTTAAAAGGATTTTTTCATTTTTTAAAAACTTTGAATTTCTTAAAACAATTGTTTGCTTCTAGATTTCGAACTTACTTTTAATAATAGTTTTTCGTTTCCATTGCTCTTCCACCGAACCTCGGGCAGCACCAGATTTTGTAAACGGTGTTTCATACATGAATGTGTCCACATCATGATTTTGTTCAAATTCATTCAGTCTTTGATCGAGTTCGTCTTTTGTAAAGAAGGGTATCACATGGGTCACTTGAATATAAGCCAATTTCGGATCCAAATCGTTGACATCAACCTATAAAAAATAAAGTAAATATTAAATCTAAAGTAATTGATAATCAAATAACCAACAACATTTTGAAAGTTGTAAGTGTCACATCAAACATTTTTTTTAAATAATTTTCTTCCATAGACTTTCTTAAATTAAGCAATTCTTTATTCAAAATAACAACAATAATTTTCCTGTGACAAAATATCCAAATCCAAACTATTTCGACGTAATGTGGAGACAACAAGGAACACTCATAAATGTAGGCAATTCCGGCGAGCCTACATTTCAAAGACAAATTATATCAAATTTAAATCCAAATGCAAAAGAATTTTATCCAAATTATGTTAAGTCATGGCGTTCGGGGCCAGAGCCAAAGGCGAAAAGAGAACGAGTTATGCGAAATTATACAATAATATCATGGCCGACAAATGGACAAATTTCCATTTACGAGCCATTAAAAGGTTTATGGGATGTTCAATTTCAAATAGAATCTCAAAATGAAATAAAATATGGTACACTGAACACAAGTGAGGCAAAAAAGCATGCAAGAATTGTAAAACCAAATAACCCCGGTGCTGCTAAGACGTCTACAAATAATTCCTCTGGTAAGCCGCCTCTGATGAATGGAGCAATAAAGAAATTACCAATGAAATGGGATAACTCTCAAAAATCTACTAATCAACACAGAACTTCTTTAACAACAATTTCTTCAAAACCAATTTTAAAAAATAAGTTAACGAAAAATTCCCCGCCAACAACACATCCCAGATCTTCTGGGAATAGCACACCAAAAGATGCTGCCTCAATAAAATCAAATAGTTCTTCGGATAAAAGTTATGGTGTTCGGTAAGACTATGTTTCATTTAAACTTTAAAAAAATGTGCTAAATAAAAAAATGATATTTTAGATTCTTACAAACTGCAAGTAAAATGTTGCCTCCTGCCAAACAAAAATCCTCCGCTCTAGCCAAATCGAGCAAATCTAAAGAAACATTACCGAAAACTCCACGTTCCACTGTAACATCGAACTTACGCAAGACAGAAACCCAAAAAGTAAGCTGAGTCCCACATATTTAGAAAATGTAACATAAAATTGTTTAAATTTATGTATTGTAAATTTGTTTGTAGCGTCGAAGTTTGTTTCCGGATAGTCCTGAACTAAATATTTTTATGCATGATTTTTTATTTTAGTAATATTATGTCGCAATAAAAAACATCTTCCAGAACATTAGCTTTTTAGTTCGAAAGTAAGCAATATAGATATATCTTAGTGCTGAAAAGGTACAAAATTCGGTTGTGGTTAGCCTCTCAGCTTGGAAAACCTCTACTTTTTCTGAGAAAATTAAAATTCACAATGGTGGAATTACACAGTAACCCTATAGAAAGACAAATTGGGAATAGTGTAACGTGAAGAAAACAACGGTTCCCTGACCTACAAATGTTCGAATACATTGAGATGAAGCGAACGAGTACATTTCTGAGATTCGAAGAAGCTTATTGTCCTGCTAGATTTTCACGTGTCTAAGGATGGATGGCGTACGGAATGATAGTACCAATCAAGGGCTCTGATTATCTTTAACATGGCAAAGCCCAGGCTTATCTTGGTCCCTCTTCCATCTCAATTGTGGACACTGACCTCCCCGCGGTGCACATGGGGTAGCTATTTTCATCAACCGTTGAAATAGTGAGCTGATATGTGCTGCGATTTCACTCATAAGAACTATAAAAAATGGTTGAGGCGTTAGGTTAGATGCCCATACTCGGAAAACCCCTCATACTATGAAAAACCAACGAAAAAACCTAACCGCCCTAATTTTGACGACCCTCACAAACGTATAAGGGCCTTGATTTGCGAATCTGAATATGGAATATGCGCACGTTGTACAGAACAGCCGCAGTTTTCGCCTTGGCGGATTTACTCAAAAAGTACAAAGGCGATATTATTGCTTTACAGGAAATGCGATGGAAAGGGACAGGCGTAAGCAAATCAGATTACGCACTGTATATTATATATAAATTTATGGTTAACAGGAGAATAACAGACCCCGTCTCCATATTCACTCCAGGAGATGAGCGAATTCATATAATCCGTATAAAAGCGAAGTTCTTCTACATCAGTCTTATTTGCGCCCATGGTCCGACCGAAGACAAAGATGAGCAGACCAAATATATATTTTACGAGAGCCTAGAAACAGCATATGACGGCTGCCCTGACCATGAAATAAAAATGCTAGAAGATTTTAATGCAAAATTGGAAAATTCTGCCTACATTAAAAAAAACCGATAAAGTGCTATCCAGCGTAATGTGTGAACAACTGAAGCGGCTTCAAGCCTGGCAAATCCACCATTAACCCGATGTTCACTTTGCGCCAAATCCTGGAAAGGACCAAAAAAAAAAAATACATGGACCCATTCCACCTATTCGTCGATCCGCTCAGAGGTATTTAAAGCCATATCTGCGTTTGGCATTCCTGTAAAATTAAAATGGCTATGCGGGATAACTTTAACTGACATATGGACGACACTTAAAGTAGGAAGGGACCTCTCGGAGTCCTACAATACCGAACGAGGATTCAGATAAGGTGACAGTTTTCGTGTGACATATTTAACATCCTGCTGGAAAAGGTCATACGAGAGGCAAATGTGAATTGAAATGGCACTCTGTACACCAAACAGAATATGTTACTCGTCGACAAAATGGGTCGAACATTGCGAACAGTAACAGGCACCTTTGAACAGATTGGGAAGGAGTCTGCCAAAGTGGGACTGACAGTAAATGGCGAGAAGACCAAGCTGATGGTATCAATGTGCAAGACGTCCTGTAGACTCGTACCAACTGTAGAACTTGAAAACTAGAGATTCGAGGTAGTGAACCATTTTATATACCTCGATACTGCCATAAACAAAGCTAATGACATCAGTTTTGAAATCCGGAGAAGAATAGTGTTAGTTAACAGATGCTACTATGCTCTGAATGAGCAATTCAAAAGCATGAACCATTAGAAGGTATATACGAGCCTACTTAAATGTTCTATGTGTGGAATGGCCCGAAATTATTCTCTTGGCGTCGAAATGTTTCAATTAAAGGTTGAAGCTGTATCAAAGACATAACTATTGAAACATGAAATATGACGCTTAATACGCATAGAAAGGGGGTACACACCTCTGCCAAATCATTAATACGTTTTATATAGTGATTCCGAAGATCTATTTTGATCTATTATCCACATAGAACCGGCAACGAAATACATAGGTCTACAGGAGTGCTAGTTAGATGAAAAATCTTAAAAGCTATTTGGAGCTGATCATTCACCACTTTAGCATCAAATCTCCTTCAATTGCATTCCTCTTTTGTATTTTTTATTATTAATTTATTAACTACATTTACTAATTATTCGGTTCCAATGCTTACCGGTGACGAATCCATAATCATTTTCACCACATCAGCACCAAATTTCTCCTTATATTGTTTAGCTAGACGTTCTGAAATTTCACTCAATGAGGTAAGTTTAGGTTCCTTGTAGACATATTCAACAGCATGATCCTCTTCGAAGTACATCTGCAAACAAAAAGTATAAACATAAGATTGCAAGAAATCCATTCAAACAATTTACAACTTACCATGCCATAAAATACCACCCGGTAGAAACGTCCCAGCATACGTTTACCCGAACGATTAACTTCAATAATTTTCGCGTATGCTTTGGCCAAATGTTCATGTGATTCCTGCAGATCACTATAATTTCTCGTTCTCTCATATATGGGCACAATCAATTTATATAGTTCACCCAAACATTCGTACCGCTCGGCAGTATCCAAATACAAGGCGCATTGTTTCAATTGTTCCAATAGCATTTGTTCGGTATACTGTGAATCTTGAGTGCCAGCATCCAATTTCAGACCCTGTTCATCACGATGAATGTTACGAGAGATTTTGGCAAATGCCGAAGAACCCCATTTTATGTTACAGCTACCTTTGAGACGTAGATATTCCGACATAAGGGCGGCAATGTGTAAATGGCAGCAAGCGGCCTCAGAGAGATTGCCATTTTGTTCATGATTCCGAGCCATTGTGACCAACCATGTGTGCCGTAATTCAGGCGTGGAGGCATAGGAATTCGCCAGGGAATATTGTAGTTCTAAGAGTCGCTCCGGATCCATGTGATGGGCTTGCATTTGTGCTGTGGCCATTAGTACTGTTCTCACACGCCGTGTCAGATCTTTAACTTCCATTGGAAATCCGGTACCTTTCATGGCCTTATCGCTGTTGGCATAACTGTTGATTATGGAAAGACTTTCTTGGAAGCGGGCATTGTTGAGGCCAATGACATTGCCAATCATTTGTGAAACCGAAATGATGACTTGTAGATGAACTCGTGTCAAACCTTTACGGCCACTAAATTCGAAATTGCTACGCATGAGCAGATATAAAACCGCGCAGGACTCATGGCGTATTTGTACCAAGCGACTATCGCAAGCCTTCAGCAATTCATAGACCATTTGACCACATAGAATGGCATTACCTTTGAAAAAGGCTGGTGAGAAGTTGTTGATGAAAGCCCGCAGGGCGGCGAATACATGCTTCGACAGCGATTCAGATTGACCAAGTTGCAGGAATTTCAAATAGACTCGGGCCAGTTTGGGTAATATCAAACTATCGATGAGTTTGTGACGGAATTGCACAGCAAATAGACCCAGGCAATCGAGTATGATCATACCCACCTCTGTGGCCAAGTTGGATTCATAGAGAGCCCTCTGATTGCGTGCCGTTTCGTCCAGTAGATTTTCACGTGTCTGAGGATGATTTAAAGTCCCAGTTTCATGAATGCCAGGTTGGGTTGAACCATTACTTTCCAAATTGGCTGGTGAGCATCTAGCTGGCAAGGTACTAGCCTTGGCTGCCCTTAAAGCACGGGCATCCTTAGAATCATCACTCATATTGAGATTCTTTTTGCCAACATAGCGGAATTGCAGCAGACACAATTCTAGAATGCTAAGGAAGTTGAGGGTTTCGGTCTCGTTGCAATTCTGCCACCAGCCAATCATTTGTTCCTGTGACAAATACTTAATGACAAACAGGAAACCAAGCAAGAAATCTCTACTCTCAGAGGGTGAAAATTTATCGAACCTTTGCTGGACCAGAGTGTGGGAAACGCTAATTGAACGATTGTGGCCATTTCGCAGGGCAACTTCATTACAGTCACCCGTAACGGTGGTGTGATTGCCATTTGTGGTGGGTCCGAGAGTGGTGTCTTGGGAATTTTGGGAATCCGAGTTTAGGGAATTCAGTGACGAGTCGGAACATCCATTGCTTATAATATTACCCGTGGCAATTGCAGCAAAATAATTCGTTTCTTTAATATGTACGGAGGCTCGCAAAGGACTAGGATGATCTATGTGTAGAGTGGCACGATTTTTACCTCTTGGTGTCGAAGTACTTGAATTCAAGGTGGAATCTTTTCCAAAGACATAACTACTGGAACATGATAGGCGTTGGGTATACGAAGCTGAATCAGCATAGACATGACCATTGGGAGTGCACACCTCTGCCAAATCATTGATACGTTGTATGTTATCCATTACAATGCCCAACCAGGGAACATAGAGCAAAGCGATCCGTGACAATTGTCCGCGATTCTGATAACGATCATCCAGTTCATGTTTGGCCAGTAGATTTTTCAACACCTTCAAAGCATGACGGCGCACATGGCCAATTTCATTGAGACTACTTTTCAATTCCTGTAACAGCAAACCGGACAAGAAATGTTGGCGACAAAATTCTTCAGTCAAATTGAAATGTTGCATCATTTCGGGTGGACGATTTTTCGGATTCATAACAAAGGGTAAATTAAATGGCACATAATGTTCATGTTGACATATCTCTTGCAGAAAATTAAATTTAAATTCTTGCAGGACACGAGGATCCCCTGGAGAAAATTGTTCCATATAATAGCGAATGAGTTTAAAGACAAATCCGCGATCCATAAATGTTAGGCATTTGCGTATAAATTGTGAGAGGGATTTATTTAAATACTGTGTCTCCACGGGTAAATCTTTATAGCGTGATATTAGGTAGGGTATCAAAGTCTTTACCAATGTCTCCACCCTTGTGGGAAACTCTTTCGGGAAACGTTCATTACGCAGCATACGTATCCGTCCCGTATCCAACAAATGCTGAGCCATACTTTTAATTATCAAATCGAAAAATATATTTGAAAATCTCATGAATTTATGTACGACCAAGAAATCCGTATTGTTGGGATGTAAAATAGTTGGCAAGTGACGGCATAGCTCTCCATGGACCGTACGTGAGATTTTCTGTGAATAGTAGGGCGCATGGAAGACATATGTGACATAGGAACTTAACAATTCCTTGCGTCCAGCATCCTCTGTTATAATGTGTATAATATTGATTAGCAAGCGGATAATATTCAATCCAACCTCTTCCGATTGGGTGTGTACCAGCAGGGTAAATAATTCATTCAGCAGAGTTGGTAAATAGTTAATTAACGTAGTTACATCTATGGCATGGGCAGCTTTTAAGATTTTACATGTTTCTGTTTCAGCAGGCATAGCTGTAGTTTTACCACCTTCCAGTAGTCGCTCACAATGGACAAAGAAATTGTGTAGATGTTGATCGGCTGTGTGCACGGTGGAATCCATACGCAGGGCTACGGCAAATAATGGTCGTTGATTATCGATCCATTGTACCTCCGGTCCACAATTCTGCTAAAAGTATGGTAATGTTTTGTAGATAGCAGTAATATCGAACAACAACAAAAATAACGGAAATGTGGTAGGTGTTGATGTGATTTGGTGAATATTGAAATATAGTAAGTATTGTGTTTTTGCATGTTTTTTTTTTTTTTTTTGTGGTAATTGTGATGAAAATGTGTTGTTTCATGTGTCCAAAGTTAACACAAATGCAATGATAGCCAATGTCGTAAATTAAACATTATGAAACAAAAGAAAACATAAAATGTTAGTTAAGAAAGCCGTTATTTAATAATGTAAAAAAATGTAGGTATTTTATAAATATTGTAGATTTTTATTATATACTATAAATCTATATGAAGCATATTCCACAGGAAAAAACCTAGGAAAACCAGTAACCTGCTATGACAAAATCAACACTGTCTAAGACCTAAGGTTTAATATTTCGTAGAACCATTGAAAACCTAATCGAAGTATGGTGGCATGGCTACACTACAGATGGTAGCTGATGAACTTTGACAAAGGTAATATCAGACGGACAGATTAATGGTCTTCCTAAAATCGTCTTCGAGGAAAGTTTGATAGTTACATTTACCGATAATTTCATACTCCGAAAAACCTCTACTCTCAGAGTTAAAAAATCATTCAAAATGAACCAGCATGTGGAAACTTTGGAAGTTTTGGATTTTCAGAGTTTTTGGGCACGCTTTGATACTGAATCGGCTGTAATTTGATATTTTAGGTTCTATGTTTCTAGGTGTCCCCAATATAACAAAATCTTTTTATTATTATTTTTTTAATTTAAAGTGACTGTAATTTACTATTCCTTGTAGCCTATGGGTTGGAAAATAGTATTGGAAAACATAGTCGACATAGGTATACTTCTTTGCTATGTTCCTTATATAAAGATCCCAAGGTTATTCGCTTCGAACCAAAAATTTGGCCTGGTCGTACTTAACGATTTTAACTCACTTAATATATTTATAAGTAATAAATCTACACATACTACTATTTTTATTAAAAATAAATATTTTTCTTTTTGTCATCAATTTTCATATTCAAAATCTGGTCGCCTTAATAAAATATTAAAAATTTAGCTCTTAATCTTATTAAATTATTATATACGACCTATGTCCAAACTTGAACTATAGCATCGGACATTTTACTGAATATCCCTCAAACATACATAAATGATAATCATTCACAGTTTTAAAGGCCCTGCTGTTCTATTAATAAATAAAATAACATATTTTGTGTTTACAGTTTACAAAGCACTGTTAAAACTGTTGGCAACACTGCTAACAGTAACACTGTAATGTTAATAACAGTCAGACTGTACAAATACATACTAATATAAACAACAGCACAACCAAACGAAATGAGTCACATTGTTTTGTACAACATATATGTCATGTTTAGTTGATATCCCACACAAGACTCCGTGGCGCAACGGTAGCGCGTCTGACTCCAGATCAGAAGGTTGCGTGTTCAAATCACGTCGGGGTCAAAATACACGTTCATCCAATTTTTTTCTTGTATTTTTCTTTAATGTTTTTTTATTATAATTTTTTTTCTAGCGGTGACATTTAAGAGATTTAGAGCTAAATCGCTTAAAATTATTATTTGGATCAAATTAAAAAAAAAATTGGGTTCCATTTAGAAAAGTGTTGCTGGAACACACGACAATACTCGAAGTAATGATTCTCTCTTGGGAGGACTTTATAGGGGTTTTTTGATTGCTCTGAAAGGTCTCAATACATAGAGGCTTTTATAGGTGCTTTTTGATTCTTCAGTATACGAATATCGTGTTTCTATACTTTACATTTAGTTGAAAAGAACTGAGTGGAGGTTATTGCAGGCATTTTAACTTCAATGCCATTTGCATAGTTTTCTTTCTAGAAGACCCCCTTGAGATAAATACATAGATGATCTTCAGTATATTAATACACTTTTTGAATATTCTTAATGATTCAATCAATAAAAAAATTATATAAGAGTATTTTGTATTAAACTATAAAAAATTATATTTATTGACACCTATTCGATTTATTTACTGTTGCGTTAAAAGGGCTTTATATCAGCCAGATTTTGTTGAAAATATAAAGTGTATGAAATAATTATCGAGCTTTGGAAAAGGGTCTGATGTATGTAGACAAGGGATGGGAAATAAGAAAATTATAAATAAGATAAGATAATAATATGCGAATTCTTGCTTCTTCCGATAGCATTTCAATATTTATGCTATTGTCTAGTTCGTTGTCAAATGTATTGATTGCTCTAAAATGATATCCTCTACCTTTTTCCCCCGAAAACCAATATACCTTGAAATTATTGAATTCATCATCGAAGTCCATATCTTTCATCTACCTCTAAAAATATCACAGAAAACGTAGCAGAGAATACCAATTTGAATACGTAACAAAGATATCCTGTTACAAATAGATTAGAACTGAGATTTCATTGTAATGTTTGTAATTAGGTTTATTAAAAACCTATGTGTTTTCACATCATAACTGAGCAGTTATCAGTCGTAAGCCGGATCATTTTATTAAGAGGAATATTACAATTCTACATTTTTGAGTTATAAGAATTTTATATTCCCAACAATAGTATTTAATACTTTGCCCTCATTAACTACAAAAACATGCACAAATCTAAATATCTCTTATGTGGAATAGGCTTCACTTTTTTTGTTAATAACTGTGGCATTGATGAAGTCGCGCACACTCACACAAATAAATAAATAATAATTTTCTTAACAAATTCCATTTTACTTACCCCTTTACCCAGACCCAATGGCTGTATACTCAAATAGCCAACGGGTAATGATGCTGCTACCGGTATTATTTGTTCATCCAAATTAATTTTGCCTTTTTGCAACAACGGCAGCCAAGCATAACCAATAGGTGTTTCAAACGATGCTGAGGCATCGCGTTTTTTGCCCAAATTACACGAAACATGATAGAAGGAGAACAGCAAATGATGTTCGGGAAATAGGCCCAAAGGTAAACGCAGCTTTAGCTCTTCATACCATGTCGGAGTGGTGTTGTGATGCAGCACAGGACAGGCTATATGGGAAACTAGAAAATCATGACCAGGACGACCATAAATACACTAAAAATAATAGACACAAACACACACGAAGAAAGGAAAGTGTTATACATTGAGTACACAAAAAAGTAGGCTAATGTTTATTTTACCTTTAATGGTTTGGCATTTTCCTTATCGGAATCTCGTAATTCAACCACAACGGTTATGTTGCGGGCTCGTGAAAACAATTTCTGACTATCAAATTGCAAAGACAATGGATACACAAATAAATGATTACAAAATGTTGTATATGGTTGACAATCTCTTTCACAAGAACTTTGGAATTCGGTTATTTCCAAACTGGCCACTTTGGAAGACATTGTTGTGTTATGGGCCAAAGGAACTAAAGATTTTGTAAATGAAACTAGAGAAAAGGGATAACATGGAAAACACATATATTAATACACAAATGTGAGTTAGTCACACTTTTAGAATACTTACATGGAACTTTTTCCACTTCCTCTATGGTTAATTTCAATTGTCCTGGTATGACGGTTAGTTTACTTAACTTTTCCGGTTTACGATAATCTACCAAGAATTTCAATAACTCTTCATCTTTTAGTTTATTTACTTCTTGGCGATACAAGATGTTAAATTCAAATTCATTTCTCTCGGTATCCAATTCATGACTATAGGGTTTAAATAGAGGCTTAGCGGCCCAGGCAAATGGTTGTCTATAGTGACCAATATTTTGGGCATAGTTGCGAATGTTTTTATGTAACTTTTGGGCAAATTTTGGATCACGATTTGCCTTGAGATAAGGTTCCACAGCCTGTACAATATTACCTTGTAATATTTTCTCAATTTTCAATACTAAAAATATATCTGTGTGTGGCGCCGTCACCGAAAATATACCCTGACGCAATTGGGCAAATTGTTCTTTTGTGCATTTTTGTAATTCCCCTGAAAGATTTTCGATTAGCGTTGAGAATGCCTGAGATGTTTGCCTTGTGCGTTCATCATTTTGCGTCTCTTTACGTGGTATATTGGAGTTGGCCACAGAATCGGGAACTGGTTTTGAGGGTAACATATCACGGACATGTTCATCGTTAATATTAAAATAAAAGGATTCGGTTAGTTTGCGTCCTGCGCGTACATCGTATAGGGCCAGACTAGTTATATAGGGTTCCACTTGGCACAAATGATCACCATCCACCGAGAATTGACTATCCGTGGGACATTGTAGGCGGAATTTTAAACTACGACAATTTATGAGAAGACGTTTACCAAATTGTTCACGATATTGTTCAACATTATCGCTGGGAGTGGCTTTGGCAGTTGACTGATAGTTGGCAAATAAACGACGACGATGTTCTCGCCTCGCCTGGGCAATGGAAATATCTGTTTCCCGACCATATTTAATTAATTGTGGATTCATCGATTGATCTAGACCTTTAAGGGTGCCAAACATTATGCTATTATTACTACTGTTACTACTCGTGGTACTACAATTGCTCGCGGCCGATTGGGGTGCTTGTGGTGTTGTTGTCCTTTCCAAGGAGGCATTACGTTTATCTTCTTGTATTTTATTCTGTTGCAGAACTGAGGATAGCTTACTCAGCCAATCTTTTAAATCTTCTTCATTTTCGGCGGCCAAGGTGAACGATTTATGCCCGGCTGTCATTCGTAATTCAAAACAGAAGCGACCTCTTTTGGGGTTCTGTAAAAAAATTCGGGATATATGAGTGTTATTTGAATATATTTTCAAAATATAGAATTTTAAAATATTTACCTGTACTACTTCAGTACAAAAGTCCATGACTATGGTGGCTTTGGCTTCACATTGTTTTTCATCTTTGTGCAGTTCCAATATATAAGTGCCGTCTACTTCTTGCCTCAAGTAGCAGTATCTGAAAGATGGGAAAATAAATGATAATGGATAACAAGTGAATTGAACTCTAAAAAGGTCCTGTCTAAATATTAGATAAACAAGTTGGAAAGATCATATCATTTGAGCAATCACGTGAGGTTTAGATGGGGCAAAAGGCGGGGTTGGTTAGAACCATGACAAAATCCTACGATTTATGGCTACAACAGGGCGTGTTTGGGAAAACCCTAAATCTATGACGAAGTCTTGCTGTTCATGATCTAAAATGGGGTGTATATATCCTGAATTCAATAGCCAATGCTTTAGCTACTGAAATACATAGTAGTAAAGAGCCTAAACCCATTATTGTGTCCTAATTTCTAGCTGCAAAAAGTGTGACAATATCGACGGGTTATTTGTTGATGTTGGATAGAACCGAAAAAAACTAAATTCTTTGGCTTAGAGCTTCAAAAAGTGAGTAGTCAAATGGAACCTCAATTCAAGGCAAAATCCTTTGTTTTAGGACAACAAAAAGGTGAGACTAAGTAGAACCTAAATCCCTAGTTCGGGAATTTTAAAACATGGACAATGCCTTATGGGTTAGTCCCTGTAAAATACGTTGTTGTACAGGGAAATAATATAGAACAATATTCATATTTTCCCTTTATTCAGACGGCCTGAAGTTTTATGAACAAATTCCCGGGTTAATTGAGGGCTACACAAAGGTGAAGTCGGATGGATGGATAAAGAGCCTAAACCCATTATTGTGTCCTAATTTCTAGCTGCAAAAAGTGTGACAATATCGACGGGTTTATGTCGAGGTTAGATAGAACCAAAAACTTCGATAACATTCTATGCTTTGGGGCTTCAAAAAGTGAGTGGTCAAATGGAACCTCGATTTAAAACAAAAGCCTATGGTTTAGGGCGAGAAAAAGGTGTGATTTAGTAGAACATAAACTTTTGGGTTAGTCCCAGAAAAAATACGTTGTTGAACAGGGAAATAATCCAAAACAATATTCGTATTTTTTCTCTGTTTGAACCTAATACCTAAAAATAATAACAATATTCCGTAGTTTATTGAGGGCTACACAAATGTGAAGTCGGATGGATGCTAAAGGCATAGTTCAACCTAAACCGGATAAATTACAAATATAAATTTATATCCAAAACAAATTAATCTTTCATTTGAGCCCTCGATCAAATGACTTACCTTCGCTTAAATGACTTATTACCAATATTGGCAAACATGCGATCTGAACCTGAATCCGGCCCCTTCAGAAGATAACCTTGTTTGGTAATTGAATCAGCTTGAGAGCGAGACATTTGTTCATCAATACGATCCTGATCGGCATCAATTTCATATACCTCTTCACGAAGGACTTCAGGGGGACTTAACCTAAAACAAAAATTAGATTTCAAAACAAAATTACGAAATTAAACTCCAATTTGAACTCACTTGGGTAAATCATGACACGTTCCACCATATGCACTATATTTATAGTGGATAATGTGATTTTTAGCCCGGTATGTATATAAGGCCTGTCTTGTAAACCGAGAACATTCCGATTTGGGTCCGACATTTCCATTATTCAGCGTACTCTCATCCACATCTTCCAAATCATCATCATCTTCGGGTTGGGCCAAATTGCTCGACTTCAGCGTTGAACTTGATGAAGATATTGAACGGTTGGCACCACCAGTTGGGGTGGCTTGCGATGACAAGGCCGATTCATAGGATTCATGTGATGATGTGGGAGATTTAATCGAATCTAAGTGGGATGAATTTTGTGATGTTGATGATTTTCGTGAAAGTTGTCCATTGTGGGCTGAACCATTGGAGACAGTCGATGTGTTCGATTGATTGCTAATTTGACGTTGTGTACTGCGTGGACTATTGGAGGCACTGCTATTTTGTCGTGATACATTGTGTGTACCATTGGTACCGTTTGTTCCACCACCACCATGTAGTGGACAAATAATGGCCACATTTGGCGGTTCGAAAATATCTACTATCGATTTGGTATTTGTGCGTAATTTCCGGGGTAAAATGATTTCCTAAAAAACAAATAAAGGGATTATTTAAATTGAAATAATAAATTAAATTTTAATTAACCAAATCTACTTACTGAAACATCATCATTTGGATACATAAGCAGCTCACGATGTGAATCATTTTGTATTAGTGTTTTATTTTTAGCTATGAAACCTTCAAAGTCAATGGGTTCCACCACCAAGGGTTTGTTCTGCAATGAATAGAGAAGGTTGAAGTTATTAATGGAAATCATCACGAATATTGTAATTTCTATTTATCACTGAGGTAGTACAGTTACAATTAATTAAATTAAAATGCATTGGAGGTGAAGGAGGAGCCACCAAGAGTCATGCAACTTGTATATGATTTATAGAATAAATAAATTGACCTTGAACATCTGTAATTAGTTGTTTAGTCTAAAATTAGACACTATTAGGCACAAAAATATCAATTTTAGTAGGAACTTTTATAGTAAATAACAAAAACATGAGCCGTGGATATTTTAAAAATATTTTTCAAGGACCAAAAACGAGTCGCGGATTTCTTAAAAATATTTTTCCAATAAGAAGACAGAGCAAGAAAAACGTGAGCGTGAGCAAATCGAGATGTACAGGAGTCAGAATGAAGTCCGAAAATTCTACCAACGGGTAAAACACAAAACCGAAGGCTTTGGTGCAGGCACATCCTCCTGTAGAAATAAAGAAGGAAACCTGGTGACAGATACAGACAGTGTGCTGAGGATCTGAAAGGAGCATTTTGCTACTTCTGGTATCTAATAGTAGCCGTGAAGTGGATACCCCAAAACCACCTAGCCTAGATGAAGTCAGAATAGCAGAATAGCGGCTGAAGAATAATAAAGCAGCAGGTGCCGATGGGTTACAAGCCGAACTATTCAAGATTGGTGGTCAGATGCTGGTAAGGAGCATGCACCTGCTTAATAATACAATTTGGCTAGAAGAATGCATGCCCAATGATTGGAACCTCAGCATCCTGTGTACCGTACACAAAAAAGGAGACAAGACGATATGTGCCAACTATAGAGAAATAAGTCTCCTTCCCATCGCATATAAAGTGGTATCCAGCGTACTGTGTGAACGACTGAAACCAGTGGTCAATGACATTATTGGACCATACCGATGTGGCTTCAGACCTGGCAAATCCACCATTGACCAGATTTTCACCTGCGCCAAATCCTGGAAAAAACTCACGAAAAACACATCGAAACATTGTACCTATTCGTCAACTATAAAGCAGCATTCGACAGCCCTATCCATTCAGAGGTGTATAAAGCCATGTCTGCGTTTGGCATTCCTGCAAAATTAATTCGGCTATTCATGATAACTTCAACAAGCACAAGATCAGCAGTTAAAGTCGGAAGGGACCTCTCGGAGCCATTTAATTCCGAACGAGGATTCAGACAAGGTGACAGTTTGTCGTGTGACCTTTTTAAGATCGATATAATGGGTCGAAGATTTCGAGCGGTAACAGCCACCATTGAACAAATTGAGAAGGAGTCTGCCAAAGTGGGTCTGGCAGTAAACGGCGAGAAGACCAAGCTAATGGTATCAACGCGCAAGACGTCCAGTAGACTCGGACGAACTGAGAACTTGAGAACTACAGCTTCGAGATAGTTTAAAATTTTTATACCTTGGTACCGCCATAATTAAACCGAATGACATCCGTTTTGAAATTCGGAGAAGGATTGTGATGGCCAACAGATGCTACTATGGTCTAAGTAAACAGTTTAGAAACAAGGCCACCTCACGACAGACCAAACTCACACTTTACAAGACGCTGATACTACCCCTGCTGTTGTATGGATCTGAAGCATGGGTACTTCCCCAAGCAGATGAGGCAGCTCTTGAGGTGTTTAAAAGAAAAATTCTCCGAAAGATCTACGGGCCGATCTGCGTCGACGCAAATATCGGCGTTCAATGAACCACGAACTTTACTACGATGGCTAGGCCATGTTGTGCGAATGAATGATAATGCCCCAGCTCAAAAGGCATTTAAGCTCGGCTTATGGAACAACCGTTCTGTAACAAGCCAGCCAAGTAAATAAAAGAGGGGTGGATTTTTTAACAAAAAATTTTCAAATACCAAAAGAGGCGTAAATTTTTTTAAAATACAGGTTAAAGTACAACTTTAAAAAATATTTCTGTCTTTGATCATGAGAATATCTTGCAGATATGTTGTACTTTCTCTCAGAACCCTGATGTAAAAAACACATATGAATACCTTATTTAGGGTTGTAGGCTACCATATGTTGGGCGCCACTCGATAACCTTTATATTTATTTATCTAAAATATTTCATTAAGAAAATTTGCTTTTTATGTTCATGTATTTAAGTGATGTCGATGCATTTTGTTTATAAACATAAAATAGTCCCACCCTCCCTTCATCCCTTTCCCCCCTCTATCAACATTTTTCACATTATGCGTTCATTGCCCTTCTCTCAAATAAAATAATGCCATTTTAAAATGAAAATAGTTTTCGAAAAAAGTACTCCATTGCAAGATTTATGACTCATTTAGTTAAGAAGGCAAAAATTGTTGACTGTAACAGGGAAGGGAACAATCTTCATTATTATGCTCTTCATTATAATAGCTTACTTTAAAATACATTTATTCTAAACAGCAACAACAACAACAAAATTAATACAGATGCTTTTTATCATCATCATCTGCTTCCAAAGACAATAAAACAAAACGAAGAACTACACAAAAATGTTGTAACTAACCTTGACCTGATTTTCCACCCCTCCCCTTTTCACTACTGTTCTGTTCTATGTGTGTTGTATCTTTCCGACAGACATCATGCCAACCTGCCACAGACATAACGCCACTTTGCTTCCCACTTTGTAATATTACCAATACAACAAATGCTCATCACCATTATTATCAGCCAACCAAAAAGAAGAAGAACACGACCAAAATAATATAGAATGGAACCGAGTATCGGCGAGAGTCATGCAAAAACACAATTTCTTTTGCTTATTCCAATTTGGTTTTACGTTGTTTTGTTCTTGGCCATATTTTTACGATTCGATTTAGTAATTTCTTAGATGAAATCATTATTTTTATATGCCAACCGAAAAGCGAAAAAAATAAAAACCGAAACGATTAAGACATTTCAATTGATAATTAACATGGAAATTCATTGGCATTTATTCGCCAAGGACTTGCTCGCTCGCATGTCTTTCGACACCAAACAAATGAAAATATACAATTAAAAAAGAGAGCTTAAGATTAATTTGAAAAGTATCAAAACAAAAAAATTACAAGATTTTTTTGAAGGGTGGTATTTAAAAAAAAGGTGGCGTAGGGGATGATAGATACCATGCAACGGCTCTGATTGGCTTTAACATGGCCAGGCTTATCTTGGTCCCTCTTCCATCTTAATTGTGGACACTGGCCTCCCCGCGGTGCCACCTGGGGAGCTAATTTCATCACCCGATGAAATAGTGATCTAATATGTGCCGCGAGTTCTCCCATAAGAACTATAAAAAATGGGTTGAGTGCATCAGTATCATTTGCGCCCATGCTCCGCCGAAGATAAAGATGAACAAACCAAAGACATATTTTACGAGCGCCTAGAAACAGCAAATGATCGTTGCCCTGGCCATGACATTCAAATTCTACTAGGAGATTTTAATGCAAAAATCGGAAGGGAAAATATCTTTGGCCCCACCGTCGGAAAATTCAGCCTCGATGAAGAAAGATCAGACGACGGCATGAGGTTGATTGCCTTCGCGGCAGCAAACAACATGGTAGTTAGCAGATTCAAGATTCAAGGCCACTTGGATTTCTCCCGATCGAACAACGAGAAATCAAATCGATCATGTTGTGATAGACGGAAGGGGAGCGAATATCGATTCGGACCATTACCTTGTGGCAGTCAAGGTACGCACCCGTCTTAATGTAGCAGCAAAGGTGCGATCTAATGTAACAAGGAAATTTGACTTCGAAAAACTACAAATACAAGCGATAGCAGAAGCCTACTCCGCTCAACTTACCTAACTGCTTGACAAAATCACCCCCTGTCCCGATAATAATATAGAAGCACAGTGGCAGAGAAATGCCCACTCCCTACAAACTGCAGCAAAAGCAACACTTGGGTACCAAAGACCACCATCAAGAAATCCATGATACGATCAGAAGTGTCGTAATGCTACTGATATGAAAAACGCAGCGTATAGGGCAAACCTGCGGACAGTAGCAACACGTAATGCGATGGAAAACTATCGGGAGAAAAGGAGAGAGGAAAAACGTATTTTCAGAAAAAAGAAGAAGGAACAAGAAAAAAATGAGCGTGAGCAAATCAAGATGTACAGGAGTCAGAATGAAGTCCGAAAATTCTACCAACGGGTAAAACACCAAACCGAAGGCTTCGGTGTAGACACATCCTCCTGTAGAGATGAAGAAGGAAACCTGGTGGCAGATACAGACAGCGTGCTGAGAATCTGCAAGGATCATTTTACAAAGCTTCTGGTATCAGATAGTGGTGGTGAAAACCAATAAGATATGACGGTATCGAGTTTATACCACCTAGCCAAGAATAACAATCAATCGGCTAAAGAATAATAAAGCAGCAGGTGCTGATGGGCTACCAGCCGAACTATTCAAGACCGGTGGTCCGACGCTGATCAGGGACATGCACCAACTGATTAGCACAATTTGACATGCCCAATGATTGGGCCTAAGCATCATGTGTCCCTTGTTCAAAATAGGAGACAATAATATATGTAACAACTATAGAGGAATAAGTCTCCTTCCCAACGCATATAAAGTGTTATCCAGCGTACTGTGTGAATGACTGAAGCCAAGGGTTAATGAAATTGGACAATACCAATGCGCCTTCAGACCTGGCAAATCCACCATTGTCCAGATTTTCACTCAGCGTCAAATCCTGGAAAAGGCCCACGAAAAAGGCCGTCGACTATAAAGCCGTATTCGATAGCCCTATCCGCTCAGAGGTGTTTAAAGCCATGTCTACGTTCGACATTCCTGCAAAATTAATACGGTTATGCAGGACAACTTTAAGTGGCACAAGGTCAGCAGTTAAAGTCGGAAAGGACCTATTGGACCCTTCAATACTGAACGAAGATTCTGACAAGGTGACAATTTGTCGTGTGATCTTTTTAACATCCAGCTGGAAAAGGTCATACAAGACGCAAAAGTGAACAGAAATGGCAACATATATTACTCGAC